CAGATGTCTATCTTTTCAGTTCTAGATTTGGCTCAAGGATATCACCAGATGCGTATCGCGCTCAAGAGTCGCAAGTATACCGCATTTCGCACGCACGCTGAAACTTACCAGTGGTGTGTAGCTCCTATGGGATTGGCCGGTATGCCTGGTGTTTGGTCTCGCCTCATGTGGGTACTCTTTGCGAAGTACTGATTCATTGTTGTCTACTTGGATGACATTTGTGTCTTTTCCACCAGTCTGGAAGAGCATGTTGAGCATCTTCAAACTCTCTTCGAGGTTCTACGTCGTTAGAATTTGTTCTGTCATCTCTCGAAGTGTCACTTTGGTCAGTCCGAAGTTAAGTTTCTCGGCCATACGATTTCTGCCAAAGGACTTGCTGTTGATACTCGCAAGACTGAAGCGATTGCAAAGTGGCCTACGCCACTAAACCAAAAGCAACTACAAAGCTTTTTGGGTCTCGCAGGTTATTACCGTCGCTTTATCCGTGATTACGCCATTATTGTGTTGCCTCTTGGTTCTCTTGTCAAGAAAGAACATGTCTGGAGCTGGGGTCCAGAACAGACGCGTTCGTTTGAGGAAATCAAATCCGCTCTTCAAGAAGCACCCGTGTTGCAGTTACCGGATTATGAGAAACGTTTCATCGTGACAGCAGATGCCTCTGGCTACTGTGTTGGTGGCGTTATATCTCAAGTTCGTTCCGGTCAAGATCATCCGATAGCCTTCTTCTCGACGAAACTTGGTCCTCACGAGATTAATTGGCCAACACATGAGAAAGAACTCTTCGCTATTAAATTAGCGTTAGACAAGTGGCGTCACTACCTATATGGTCGTGAATTTGATATCTACACGGACAACACTGCTTGCAAGTGGTTTTTGCACCACCCGTAGGTTTCAGCGAAATTAGCTCGCTATTTGACGTTTTTCGCACAGTTTACGTTCAAGTTGCATCACGTTAAGGGACACCTCAATGTGGTTGCCGATGCCTTGTCGCGTCAATCTTCGGAGCATGCGATCAATACGGTTTCGTTTCATCAGTGTACCACGCACTGCCACACCCGTGCAGCTCGAAACCTGACGAATCGACGCGTTATTACCGACTACCGCAGTCTTAACCAACATTTGGTTCGACCACCCTCTTGCCCTCAATTTCGTGGGGAGGATGTTGCTGCTGGTTACTACACGCGCCCTGTTCCGACCTTAACTCAAGCTTACCGACATATACCAATGGAAACTCCACGTACCGTCGCTGCAACTGAGAATATTGTTGTGGCCACCAATGTGACCCAACAAGCTCAAAATTGGAGCTCGCTCGGTTGGTCTGATTCGATTAGCAGAGAATTCGCTGCTGGATATCGCAATTTCCCAGACTACGGAGATCGTTTTAAGCATCCGGAACAACCATTTGTCAAACAAAATGGTTTACTTTTCCGCAAGTATCAGATGATGATGCGCTTGTGTGTTCCGTTTACTTGGGACAATCATCTTCGAACTTCCATCATCTCTTGCTTCCATGACTCCAATATTGCTGCTCATCCTGGAGCTCATCGAACCTACCTTCGCATTTCGCAATGGTTTTATTGGCCCACCTCGGACAAAGACGTTCGCGATTATGTGCAAAGTTGTGAAACTTGCACTCGCTGGAAACACAGCAATGCTCGCAAGAATGGCAGGATGATTTTCATTCCGATTCCTGAGGAATGCTGGTCTGTCGTCTCAAAGGACTTTATCACTGGATTACCTGATTCCAATGGTTTTGATGCAATCGTGACTGTTGTCGACAAGCTGCCCAAGCGCCCGAAGTATCGTGCGTGCAACCGGACTGATGATGCACAAAAGACTGCGTATCACGTCTTTGATAGCGTTGTTCGCCATCACGGTTTACCGTCGATCATCATCAGCGATCGAGATTCGAGATTCAAGTTTGTCTCCAAGTTCTGGTCATCCTTGGCTAAGCTAATGGGAATTTGGCTGCACATGACAACTTCCTATCGTGCTCAAGCCGAGGGACAAACCGAACGTCAGAATCTGATTCTGGAAGACGCTCTACGCTGCATGATATCGTACCACGGACGTGATTGGTCGGATAATCTCGGAACGATTGAGTATGCTCATGCTACGCATCTACCGGTATGTCGCCCTTTGAAGTTGATACTGGACGCAAAGAACGGAATCCGTTGAATCCTTTGAGCAATCCCAGTACCATGACTCAAATTCAGCTAGAATTGTTGAATATGCGAAACAGTTCCAGGACAAACGCCAAGAGATCATTGATTTGGCAAAGAAGCATCTTCTTCAAGCCCAAGAACGTCAGAAGAAGTACTATGACAAGAAGCGATCATCGATCACGTTCAAGAAAGGAGACTTAGTCATGCTGGATACACGTCGCATTCCTTCCGCCCATGTGACTCAAGACATTGATGGGAAATGGGCTAATCTCGCTGCTCGCAAGATTGGACCATTCGAGATTGTGAAAATGATCAACCCGAATGTGGCCAAGTTGAATCTTCCGCGAAGCATGAGTCGTCTGAACTCCACGTTCAATGTGGACGTGTTGAGTCATTACGTTGAAAATCCGTCGCATTTTAAGACTCGTCCTATCCCAAAGGCCTCAAGACTGATTATTGACGACGACACTGGCGCAACGATGCACATCATCGAGAAGCTTCTTCGCAAGCGTCAATTCTATCGCAAATCTGAATGGCTTGTGAAATGGCACGGATTGCCAGATCACGAAGCAAACTTGGAGCGCGAAAAAGATATTCGCCATGTGTCGCATTGGAAGGTTCTCGTCTCCGACTTCAACAAGCGTCAACGAGAAGTCAAGTCCGGGAGGATGTAACGACGCACCAACGTCACAGCCAGCGATGGCCATGACGTTGGTACCAATGCGTCCTACTTTCTTCTATTTTCTTTCCTACCTGTCTTTGCTGACTGCCAGCTGTCTTCTTAAGTTGCCAATGAACGGCCAGGCAGACACACGCCTGACCGGAAGGCAAACACCAATGTTTGGACGAGTATTGCCAAACATGGAACTTCAATGACAGTCATTCTGTTTCATTTGAATTCACTATGGAGATTCTGACCCGGTTCAAATGAACCGCGGTTCACTACTACGCTACGCTACTTCAAGATTCGACTCAAGGACTACTTAGAATCTAGTATAGTGAAATGCATATACTTACATAGGATACCAAGGGAATGCTAACAAGCACTTCCTCGTAGCCGACAAACAGCTAACCATTTCAATCTCACTTTCCAATTTACCTTCTTCGAGGTACATCAACTGCCTCCTATGCCTTACCTTCGAGTCCCCTTCGTTGGACTCTCGCCGCCCTCCTCCGCTTCGCTCCTCGTCGCTGTTCCTCTGCGCCGTGCTCTCACCAGTCGTCACACACGGCGAGCGGCGGAACGGCCGCGTGTTGCTCACGACGCCGGAGTACATGCGGTCCGAGGGCTTGAAGTACGTTCCTACCGGCAGGAGGTTCACGTCCAGGCCGGCCGCGCTCTGGCTGGTGAAGTTGACGACGGCAAAAGTGGCCGCGACGATGCAGTTGACGAAGGACAGCATGGTGGAGCGAAGGTGTATTTGCGTAGGCTTGAGTGAATTGGAGAATGGATTCGGGTGGTGCGCTCAAGGCACTCGGAAGAGACCGTATACGGTGATCATGATCATGCTGGTGCGGGTGGTCGTCCTCGTTTATGGCGTCAAGTGATCAGCAGAGTCGACACGAGATGTACTTCAGTATCAGACGAATGGGCAGAAACGAGGACAGGATAACTGTCTGTCTAAGTGATACAACGGTTCGAGTCGAACTCCGACACCATCAAAACGGGTCAAGTCATCTGTGGCCTGCATCAGACACGCTGATCGGCTTTGAACATCGCTTCCGTAGCGTATACTTCGTAGGTTACTTGGTAACGTACATGTACACGTACCGTTTGTTATTCTAGACTTACTGTAAACCTATTCTCAAAACTTTAAGTCTTTATGTAGTTTTCATTTGAGATCGGCAATTGTAGTACTGAACATGTACCGGTATCTTTGAAAATGCGTGTCTAATACAGTTGGTGTGCAGTACTACAGAACAAAGTAGAAAAGTCTTGCTTCTTATATAAATTTCAATTTGGATCTTTGCACAGAGCCATTTAAAAGTGACGCCGTCACGCTGATCAATCAATGTAGCGCTCATGTATTAATACATGTATTAGTTTCTTAGATCAAACCTATAAAAACGAAAGAAAAGTGCATACCTTCACCAAAAAGAAGCGAGCAAATCAGTGATACGGTGGTCAAACGTAAAGAAGACCACTGTTCATGTACATGTACAAACCTTGTACACTGCAAATGTTTCAAACTGTGCAGCGTTCACTGCACAGTACAACTGTACGTAGCTCGTCCCAAAGACACCTTTGGCCGGATCGCGTGAAGCAGTTCCCGCAATACTGTACAGGGACAAGTTCGAGGGAAGCTCGAGTCGAGCTGCTTGGAAGTTTCAAGTTGGAACAGCCGACAATGCGAGATCAGACAACCTTGTGAATGTACCGGTCCGGTAGTACATGTACCAGACCGGTAGTACCCGGTGTAGTACACCGTGTACATGTACTATGTACATGTATTGGAAGCTTCAATGAAGCAAACGATGAGCTGAGTCAGCTCAAGAGCGGGACCGCCATGAAGCACATACCCGTACTGTACATCACGAACATGTAGTGTACTGTACTGCCAGACTGGCAATGCCAGTTGAGAGCTTACAAGTGCTGCATGCAGCGTTGCGCTTAGAATATGCACCCACAATCCGGCTCACGTTGTCACAATAATAGTTGGTCCGAAAAGCGGTGCAACACAACACAAAACTAACCTGCTTCGTTTGGTACCTGCACTCACGACTGACCAAGAAAGCCGGTTATGTACTGTAGTCGAAAGAATGAAAACGTTGCCAATCATAAGCTGGAATTTACCTTCTTTTTCGTATTCTACAGCTAGACACTCCACAAGCACATTACTTCGCATTACGAGCGCTCCATTCGCGGTCGAACAAGCTGAGACTGCGCTGCGCCGTCGGCACGACGTCGATCGCCTTGACCATCACACATTCAGGCTTCTCCAGCACCCACGAAATGGCATCAGCAATATCTTCGGACACCAGCGGCTCGTAGCCCTCAATGAACCGAGTACATATTCTTGTCGAAGCCGACGCGTTGCTCGTGGAAATTCGTCACTACAACACCAGAACGCACCACCACAACCTTGATGTTCGTACCGCAGAGTTCATTGCGAAGCGAGTTCGAAAATCCCTCCTGCGTCGCCTTGGCCATATAATACACAGCTTCACCGGAGAACGGCGGAGCCTCCAGCGCAGTCACAGACGTCACGTTCACGATCACACCTCGCTTCTGTGCGAACATACCGCCCTGGTTGAGTG